CCCCAAAACCCCAAAACCCCAAAACCCCAAAACCCCAAAACCCCAAATATGCTCAAAAAGATTGAATTTTACATTCTCTCTAATAGAATAACATCTTTAGACTTAGTAGATTGTAGCCTTTGATTTCTCCCAAGAGCTGTTTGACCTCTTTCAAGTCTACATCAAAGAACTGAGCGATAAGATTTCCGCTAAAGCCGCCTCTAAATCCTTCATCATACTTCTTTAAAAGTTGTTCGTTCTCTTCGAGGCTATTGGTAAGTCTCTTCAGGATATTAAACTGAATTTTTGAGATGAATGGAACCATTTCCTTCTCCAGAATCTTGATAGTGTAAATATTACCCTCAAAAGTGCTAAAAGCTATGTTCTGATTATTGATAATATGAGAAGTATCATAAGAAAGCGACAAGAAGCAAGTAATCCTCTCTTTGAGGAGATATTCTGCCTTCTTGTAGACAGTCTTCACTGTCTGAGATTGATTAAGGTCAGTGTCATCAACACCAATGAGGGAGATCACTCCAGCATCATCTTGGCAGAGAAACAGTGAGTCACTGATTCTGTGTGATTCTAACAAAATTGGGTTTTCGATTAATGCAATCTTTTCATGATGGTATTCAAAGTTATCACTAGTGTTGTTCAACAAGGATATACCTTTCATGAGATCATGCACTACAAGATATTTTTCTTCAAAATTGTAGGTCAAAATCTTAGAAATCCAAGTAAAAGAGAAGTTTCGAACAGGCTTCACCACCAAAATCACTGAGTCTGGATTTGTAGCATCAAACCTAGTCTGAGTAGATTCAGGAGTAGCTTGCTTTTGCTCTTCTTCACTCATGTTAGCATCCTGGCTCTGGGATTGACCTTCTTGAGAAGACATTTCGATGTCTGTTTCAACATGATTGCTTTTGAAATCCAAATTGAGAAGAGAAGTCACTCAGCCAAGGATTACATTTGGAATATTTTGAACAGGAGCATACCCAGCATTGCTTTCTTTATACTTTTCCATTAAATAAATGGAGGTAATCAGTTGATATCCGATAGTTCTAGTGATTGAAGTCGATTCTATCTGAACATTCCCTGTACATTCATTTCTTAAACATACCTGAAGATTGATCTGAAGAGATACTTATCCCAATTGTTACTAAGTTTCATTCCATATGCTTCGAAACTTCATTTGATTTTGTAGAAACTCAGAGAACATACTGATATTTTTCATCGAAGATTGAATTATCCCCAAATACGTCTTTTACTTTACAAATTTTACTAGCACATACTATTTGGTGCCTAACCCTACATTTAAACAGCTTGGTGTTATTCTGTTGAGACCCCACTCCTGTTTGGAAATAAACCTAAGGATAATTTAGGAGAACCTACTCTATTATTCTGAGAGACAAAAAAGCACCCAGATGAAATCTCGGAAGAACTTTCAATAAACTCTTTCACGTGCACCTCCTCTTCTAACTTGTGCACTTCTTCTTTATGCCCTGTTTTGTAGACATTCAAGATTTGTTGGGGAGTAAGCTGAACCTGCAACTTTTGATCAACATTAGAAATTATATGAGATTTCTGATGTTCTCCCTTAGTCATGTAGGTGCCTTCCATCTGCTTTGTTTCTCCAACCTTGACAGAGCTATCATCGGCATAGATTATTCTATGGAGCTCAAAAATATTATCTTCTGAGAAATGTTCCTAAAATGTTTATCAGAATCCACCTACTGCTTCTTGGGAAGTTTGTTTGCTAAACTTCTGGATTGATCTCAAGATTCCCTTTCTCTGAATGGTGAGAGTATGGTTATAGGTATACTGCAGGACATCATTTCCAAAGTATAAATCTGTAATGAAGAATGCATTCTGGGCCTTATCATTAAGATCTTCCGCCCAGATAGGAATGGAATATAAATGTCTGAATTTATCATCCTCAAAAATATGCATGCTTATTTCATACTTCATAATATGCTCTTTATTCTTAGATCTGACTGCCATGGCTAAAATGTTCTCATTCAGGCAAATATTTGAAATTTCTACACTCTCAATAGTCTTTTCAACATAAGAAGGCTTATCTAAACCTTCTGAGATTTTATAGACGGATAAGACTCTGGCTGAGGTATAAATCACTAATACATCTTCAGAGAGAGTTGAAGATATTATCTCTAGCGGTGCTTGCTCTTCTCAGCATTGGATACCTATATTTATAAGATATAGCAATGAAAGAATAGAGGAAGATGAACGTACCTTCTCCAGACCTCGTGACTTCATTAATATCTTTTATTCAGAAATCTGTTTCTAAAAATTGTTTGAATGTACAAACCGAAACTACTTCATTGCTTATCAACACAAAATGAGTGTTAGTGAGGTAGGCATCCCTTGTAGCGAAAGGAAGGATCTGCACTACCTCTAGGCAATATTTTTCTGTGTTCAAAATCAACACATAAGTCTCATATGGGGTTGATAAAAATCATAGAATGTGCTCTCCCACTGTAATTAATACCGATTCTTTTTCAAATTCTACTTTCAAATTTGGTGTTACGTTACATATCTTTAAATCACAAAAGGAATCTTCTGAGGGCTTTATTTCAGAAAGCACAGAAGAAAGGTCTCAACTCATTGTTAGCTTATTCGAGGAGGACTCTATACTATCAATTGTTGAACTTTCGCTTCCATATGAGAACGTAAGAGCATTGTTGTGCATTCAAAGTGACTTCATTCTACCATAATTCTTCTGGAAACTGTAAATATGCACTTGAGTATCATCTCATTTTGAAAAAGAAGATAGAGAGGGAGATCCAAATCAGGTTCCTGTGTAGACCAGATAGCGGTTCTTATTAACTGCTCATGAGGAAATACTTGTGACGTTTGTTTTTCTTGAGGATATGGGTGTTAATTTCTGTATCTTTATTTCTTCCCTTTTGCTGATGAGAGAATAGTGTACCAAATCTTTATTTGAAGTGATTCCAATCAATGAAGTTGTACCCTCGAATGCCCCATCGTATAAAGGAAGTAAATTAATCAATGTTACTCCCTGGGTGTCTAATTTAGAGCTTACTCAAAGATCTTTCAGATTAAAGAAGCTTATCCCATCAGTTTGCATCAACACAATATGGGTCTTATTGAAGTAACCAATGTCAATGATCGTTCTATCACAATGAATAAGATTGGATTCATCAGATACAACATCTACTGATGAGTTTATCTTCTGTACAGGACTTTTGACCAAATAGTGTTCTTCATTCAAATGCCAAATTGATTCCCCTTCCTTCCCTTGATTAATTATCAAGAGAGAAGAATTAACTTTGAAGTCATAATACTTGATCCTTGTATCAATATTTAAGCTTTTTCCTGTACTTTGGGGCTCTTTACATTCTTCCTTTCCTTCTTCACTCTTATTAGAAAAGTATAAGATCACTAATGAATTAGAAAAGGCATTAAGAAGTCCATAGTCCATATTCTGAGAAATTTCTCATGAGGTATGCTTCACCCGAGATATTGGAGTATCAGCAAAGGATCTAATAACTGCTACGTATTTCTTCTCAATCTTATCATCATGTAAAATAAGGCAGTACATTTGAAGATTGTTCAGCAAAACCAAGACATCTTGGCCAATTTTCTTGAGCTCAAGGATATCTTCAGAAAACTCAACTGAATCAATAAAGATGGGTTCTTTTTGTGTAAACTCATATTTGTGATATTCTATCTGTCTTTTCCTGCCAACTATGAGGTTTGCATGCCTATTGTCACTCCTAATGAGCAAGGAATAGAGCACTTGTTCTCTATTTTCAGCATTTGTAATTCTTTTAATGAGCATCTTTAAAATAATTATATCCAAATTTTACGACTTTCCTATATTTCAACTAAATTTCAGAGTTTAGGGGTTTTGGGGTTTTGGGGTTTTGGGGTTTTGGGGTTTTGGGG